AAACGATGGGCGGAGCGTCGGTGGGGGGAGGCGGGAATCAAAGTACGCAAACACCGAGTCTCACTTTTTTTATTCCTAATGCTCCGCAAATCAATGAGAAATATTTTCCGAAAACAGCTCCATATGATTCCATATCGAACCCAAAAAGGCGCTTTCCTAACGGACCGTAACAAAGGGTTAAAACTGAAAAAAATCCAAAAATCTCCTTCGAGGCACGCGCTTCGGCACGCACTTGAAGACCGTTTTTTATAGATGAAGTTGTACACTGTTCAGGCAAACAAGACTGACCAGAAAAATTGAATCGGGGCTATCGATTATTATAGTGCATGTAGAAGATGAAAAACCCAGAATAAGACATCTCACCCGGTCACGGTGACCGTATTTGGTGAGATATGCTCGTAAAATTTTGTCGATTGTGGAGCCAAGATCAACAAAAATCCTACATCGAACGAATGTTGAAGTCGGAGGTGCTGCCCCAGTCCCAATCACGTCTTGTGAACGACAATTGACCATTCTATCAGTACGGAGTGCCTGCACACACGCAAAGCTCACTCGTCAGTGGTTCCAAGCCAATTTTCCGGATTTTCTCACTAAGGATCGATGGTCAGCTTCCAGTCCGGTACTCAATCCAACGAATTTTTTGTTTTGGGAATATTGGACCCAATGAGTCTCCACAAAAAATTATCCTAATTTGGAAGCCCTGAATAGATCCTTGACCGCGGCATGGGACAATTTGGACGTCAACTACCCCCGTGCCGTAGTCGACTCCTTCTTGAAGAGACTTCGAGCTGTCATCGGAGCGAACGGAGGAAGGCTCAATAATTGTTAATGCCATCTTTTTTGTTATCTCTTAATGAACATCTTGACCGAATTTGAGAAAAAAATCTTTTGTTTTGAGGTTTCTATACCGTCTTAAAAGCGGCGCTATATTTATTCCTCACCCTGTATTTCCATTCTACAAATCTCTACCAATTTCTAGCAATTTTTGATTTATTTGATTGAAACAGTAAAACAATATTTCCATTGTCAAATTATCAAATATGTCCAAAAGCTGCAATTTTATAATCTTTAAAAATTTTCATTTCAGATGAGTTGCTTCCAGCTGTTGTCCAAGATCTGAAAATGTATGGTTATATCGTGGATCTGGTCGCCGTTCGTCAGGAACTTGAAGGAAGGAAAAATTCAATTGGAACAAGCTGTCACCGAGTTGCTCAAGAAGAGAAAAGAAAGTATTGATGCGTTGAAAAGTGGAAAATTGGCGGGATTGTCGAACGATTTGGAGGGATTGGCTAAGTAAGTTGAGGAATCGTGTGGCGTGCAAGGTGAGAACTGTAAGGAGTTGGATAAGGTTGTTCAGGGAATCGATAACATCGCTAAAATCGATTCAAAATACTTGGCTAAATACAGTGATTTTGTCAAGGAGGAAAGTTCATTGGATGCTCTTTCCCTTGTGAAAACATCGTGGCCTGCTGGTATCAAAGAAAAAGTTTCTCAAATGAGAGGTCTTTTTGACAAAAATACCAAGAAAATGACTCCCGATGATCACTCCGGATTTAGTTGTTGTTCCTATAAGATTTATAAATGATGTGGATAAACCATATGGTGATAGTCGTACTGATGAACAAAAAGCATACGATTTCGCAAGAAGACAACTTCCCGAGGATGGGTTCCCAATCCGCCGAAAACACACAGACAGGTGACTGACAGTTTGGCTGCGAAGCAACCTGCAAAAAAAGCAAAAAAGCGGACTGCAAAAACCAAGAAGAAGTCGTCTGGCAGCTCGGTTTCCAAGAAGACAACAAAAACAACCGACAAACAGGCTGACAGTTCAATTGACGATACGGCTACCACATCGGCTAGCAAACTAATCGACGTTGCGGCCGACGAAGCTGGTAAATCGGTTGACAAATCGATTGACAATTCGGTTGGCAAATCCGTTCATAATTCGGCGGACGAATCGGCTGATAAAACTGCTATTGGACTTTGATTGCCTTTTTTGATGAAAATAAAGTTGTTGTTGAATTTAGTTGTTTTTTAAATTTTTAGTTTAAAAAATGACTCATTCACTTTTTGAATTTGGAGGCCTATAACTAGATGCTACAAATAATTTCAATTTTGTAGTTTTAAAAAAATTTAACACAACGACAAATTTCGAAACCTGAAAAATACGTTCATTTTCCTTTTTTTTCCTGATTTTCATTGAGTTTTCTGTTATTTTTCCAACAAAAAAAGCCGCAAAAAACTGTTGATAGTAAAAAAAATTGGCTGAAAACGCACCATAAAACAAAACGGTTCTTGAAAATCGGAAAATTCGAGAATTTCCAGAATATTTTCAGATGTAAAAGTGATTTGGGAGTCTGGAAAAAATAAAACTTCCTTTTAAAAATAAATGAGTTTGTTCTTTTTTCAGGAAAGTTTTTATTACAGTATACAGTACATACAGTACCGGTCAATGAAATATACTGAAAACAGATTTTTCAGAAGATTTTCGGACATTTTCAGGAGTCTGGAGATTGGTCGTCAAGTTTCCAATCAGTTTAAAAATTTGCAGGCAATAAAACAAAGCTAGATTGCAAACTTTGTATTCACAGAATTTTTTGAAAATTCCTAGTTTTTTTTAGCTATTTGCCGATTTTTGAAATCCAATCACAGATGTATCACAGACACACAGACAGGCATGAACTTTCTCTCTTCTTTAAAAAAATTAAACACACAGTCGTTTGTCAAGCGAAACCAAATTACACACCTGCGTGATTTATCCCTTTTTTAGTGGGAAGGGACACAGAAAAAAAAAACTTGAAAAGAAACGAGATCCCCCTTCTTTTTGGTCTATTCATCTTTTTTTTTATATTCGCCTTCGATTGATAATACCTTTTTCCTCACTTCTTTTTTCTTTTTTTGTATGGTAACTCCTTGTAAAATAAACATTTGTTCGGTGTTACGCTACAGGGAGTTTTATGGGTCCCCCGTTTTGAATAGATTTCACAGAATAAACATGAATAAAATTTTCGAAATGTACGGTGGTCTAGGAAAACTGTTTCAAATACCATAAACACTCCAATAGAAGCTCAAGTATCTCAATTTCTACAAGAGATATAAAAAAGCTTTTAACTGATAAATTGTTTATCATAACCACACCAACATTTTATAAATTGACAAATTTTTGATATCACTCAGAGAAATTGAGATAATTAAGCTCAAAGTGCAAGGTTGGGGTGGCCAGTGTTTACGGTAATTGCCTCTTGTTTCGCATTTCATTCTTATTCTATGTATAGGACGGTAATTTGAGAGAGGTGTTAATTAGGTGTTGCTCAAATTAGGGGCTGGTTTAGAGGGAGGTTTACCTCATGACGTCTTCTAAATTAATTAAGGACTTGCAATTTTAATCCCCCCCCCTCCTCTAGTAGAAGCCCACACCGTCAACTTTGAGCTAAATTTTCTCAGTTCTTGCATCAAGAGTTGTTTATTGATAAATTATTTATCATAATATCATCTCTATTTTATTAGTTGACAGTTTTTTTAATATCTTTTACAGAAACTGAGATAACTTGGCTCAAACTTAACAGGAGGTGTAGGCCGCTTATAAAACACCAATATGTTTACGCTTTGAGCTGAATTATCTCGGTTCATGTGAAAGATATCAAAAAAATTGTTTACTGATAAATTGTTCATCATAATATCAGCTAAATTTCATTAGTTGACAGATTTGTGATATCTTTTGTAGGAATTGAGGTAATGGCTTAAAATGCGCTGTAGTATTTTTTAATTTCTAACCTGATGCAAAAATTAATGATCCGAACTTTTTAAAACTAAAATTTTCGAAGTCCACCCAAAAATACAAAAATTTTGACGCCAGAACGAATTGAACCTTGGTATTGTGAACCGTAAATGCCAAAACTCACTGAGATATCTAGTACACCTATCATAAGAACCGAGATAAGCCCCCCCCCCAAACTTTGAGCAAATTTATCCCGGTTCCTGTGAAAGATATCAAAAAGTTGTCAACTGGTAAACTGTTTATCATAATATCAGTATTAATTTAACAGTTGACAGATTTTCGATATTTCTCATGGAAACCGAGATAATTGAGCTCAAAGGTGGGGCGTTTCTATGAGAGAAAATACGGAAATCTTTAGGGGCCCTTCTATTACAGGTTTCACGGCGAGTTTCAGTTTCTCTACTTTTAACCTTCAACTCTTTTCAAATACTTGGAACGTCTCCTGAATCCATTTTCCCATTTTCCTCTTCCCACTTCTTTCGAACGTCTCTCTTACCATAAATTACTATTTTCTCCCCATTTCCTCTTTTAAATAAGAAGAAAAAAGAGAAGACGAGAGTGGCGAAAGCTGTAAATCATCCGAAATTAATCGGACTGGATTTCCGTTTTCCTTTTCTTTTTTTTTTCAATTTTCTTCCTTTTTTCCCGAAAAAGTGAATAACTGCCTATTCTCGGTTACCTATACTCCCCGTTATACTTTTGGGATTTCAAAGATCGATTTTTCTGAGAAGTTGAATTTTTTAGATTTTTTAGATTGGGAGATTTTGAATTTCTCGAATTCTGTTTTACATAACTTTTGGTATGATCTTCTCTAAGCTTCTACCGTAAAAGCTGCCATAATGGATCTTTTATTTTTGAGCCTATGTATCTCGGTTAATGTAAGGGATATCTAAAATTTGTTAACTGAAAAAATGTTTATCATGATACCAGCAACATTTTATTAGTTAACCGCTTTTTGATATCTCTTATAGGAACCGAGATAATTAAGCTCAAAGGGCATGTAGTTTTTTCTCCATGAAACTTGTATGATCCTTCAACTTTGAGCCAATTTTTCTCGGTACGTGTGAAAGATGTTTAAAAGTGATAAACTGATAAAATGTTCATCATAATATCATAAACATTTTGTCAGTTGATTTTTTTTTGGGTATCTCTTACAGTAACCGAGAAAAATCTTGCCAAAGTTGACTGTATCTTTCATAGGCTTAATTACCGGGACGAAAACTTGTACTAGCATAACATTTGAGTAAAACGTTGCACTGTGCGCAAATGCAGGGTGCAGAAACTCAAATAATTCATTAGTAAACTGTCCAAGTTTAAAACTATTTGTACAATTTTGAGCTGAATTATCGCTTGTCAACGATGCTTCATGTCATGAAAATCACAAGAATATTTGAAGAATCATAAAAATACCTAGACTGGAGTAATCATTTTGAAAAATAGAGTAGCCTTAAATTCAACATCAAATTGTATTCCTAACAATTTTCGTGCTTCCAAGATACCTATGTCTTAAGATATTCCCATATTAATCAGTCTGGGCAATTGTGCGCCACTCTGTATGCCAATCGAACACCTCCTTTTCCCTTTTTTCGTCTCATTTTTCTTCTATCGCAACAGTTGCTTTCTTCCTCTCCCTCCAATAAAAAAGATACAAACAAAAAAAGCGCACCACACTCGAGTAATTAGGGAGGAGGGGTAATATGATATGGGTGAACGATTGCGTATGCGCCAAAAAACTGAAGAAGAAGTCATTAGTGGGCCATATACTGGTTGCTCTCTCATTTTATTTGCCACTGTTTAGATTTGGAGAGAGAGAGAGAGAGAGAGAGAGAGAGAGAGAGAAAAGAATGGATAAACAATCTTGTCACAGATGCTAAATAAACAATGTCCAAGTGTGGGAAAATAGAGAGAAGAAGAGGAGGTCAAACAGGCGTTTTTTTTTGTTTGAGTTGTGAGCCCCCTTGGAGGGCCCTTCTATTAGAGAGACGCTCTCATGTTGTTAAGCATGCTCTTCTAATACAGGTTTTACGGTATCACGATTTTGCTAATTTTTTGTCGAATAAGTTTTTCTTCGACTTGATAGGATTATTGGAAACAATGGAAGGTTGTATAGAAGAGAGAAAACCTTGAAAATCCATTTTTTTGTGAAAAATGGAGGCTTTGTTAGGATTGAAAGTTTTTTGCATTCATTTTCAAGTTTTGAAATAAACATTTAAAAATGATTGCCATGTTACTGTAGGTTTCCGAGACCAACAAAGGGAAAAGACCTGCCAGACGGGCCCCACACCTACAAGTTTGAGCTCGATTATCTCGGTTCTTATAAAAGCTATCAAAATGTTGTCAACTGATAAAATATTGATGGTATTATCATAAACAATTTATCAGTTAACAGATTTTGATAGCTCTTTCAGAAAACGAGATAATTCCGCTCAAAGCGTAGACACGTAGGCAGTGGCGTTCTATAAACGGCCTCCACAACATCAAGTTTGAGCTCAATTATCTCGGTTCTTAGGAAAGATATCAAAAATCTGTCAACTGATAAAATATTGGTGATAAAATGAAAAACATTTTGTCAGTTGACAGAATTTTGATATCATTTTCAGGAAATGAGATATATAGGCTCAGGGTTAGCGGATTGTGAGCATTCTATTATTTATCTGCCTTAATTTTGTAGCCGCTTATATTGCTCGTTTTTCTGCATTCGAAAAATTCCAAATCTCTGGTATACAGTATCTATTTTTCTCACCTACAAAAAAATAAACATAAAAAAGGCTCCCCGTGGAGAGAAGTATCAATATAATACCACCCCCATGAGTATGTTCACACGCCTAACTGCCACCATTCTCCCCTCTCTCTCTCTCTCTCTCTCTCTCTCTCTCTCTCTCTCTCTCTTTTTATCATTTTTTCTGCATAGTACTGAACAGAAAAATACAGTTAATATTCAAATTTGCATATTTCAAACTGACCAGCCACTAGGCTTTCTAGAACCTCCGCGTATTTGCACATGGGCAAGATTTTTTGTATAGGGAAATTTGATTCTTCTTCCTACTGTTTTTTGTTTCCGCTCCACCAATAATTTAGAACAAATGAGAAGAGGTGAAAACTACTTTTCCGTTTTTCCAAAGTTCCGGTATGATCCGTCACGGCTCATGTATCCCCATGGTCCTCCTTTCCTTTCCCTCTTCTTCTTCTTGTTCTTTTCTTTTACTCTC